GTGTTTGTGTGCGTGTGGATGTCCGTGTGCGCGCGCACGCAAGGCCAGGGCCATTTCCTGGCCACTGTGCGCGACTGTGCGCTGAGCCTGGAACCGGGGCCCTCCCTGAGCTCGCCGCTTGTGCGTGTGCCTGGCCTGCCTGTTGCCGGCTCCCCCTCTGTCACAGCGCTCAGCGCTCTCTCCGTGCCTACTGTTGGATTTTTTTTTGGCAGGTGTGCAGCAGGGCTGTCTGAGCCATGATCGAGGTGTTGGCCAAGCTGGGCCGCGGGCCGGTCTTCCTGGCCGGGGAGGTGCTGGAGTGCGTGATCACTTTCACCAACCCGTTATCGGCCTCATCTACCTCTGCCAGCAGGTATGGCAGTCCACACTGGTGGGCTTTTCTGTGCATGAAGCCCCGAAGTGGCAGAGCTGTCTGGGTCCCTCCAAGGGGAGCAGCCCTCCCTCCCTCCCTCCCTCCCTCCCTTCTGAGCAGCCAGATGTAGTCATGGCAGAGTTGTGGGGCAATGGTGCCAGCTCAGCCAATGGTGACTTCCCTGCCTGAGGTAATCCCTTAAGGGTGCTTTGCACCAGTGCTGTTTCATGGCTGAGACTGAGGTAATTATTGTGGTTTTCTGCCCCCAAGAAAGAGACGAGGAAAAAAGTATGCAGTTAGAGATGCTCTTGACTGCCGCTCTGGTGAGCCCTCAACGACAGGGTTACTGACAGAAAATGAAGCCAAACTGGCTGTCAAAGTGGGATATCTAGTTACACCAGGGTGACAGTCTCTCAGAGCAACATTCAGACAACAGCATTATTTTCTACATTTATGGAAGGAGCTCTCTCTCTCTCTGTTCAGCAGTGTGCTGACATATCAGTGTGATCCCTGCCTCCAGAGCTGGCAGGCAAAGGGGTGAGCATTGCCTAGAGTCAGAAAGAGGCAGCCTTCTGTGGCAGCTTTTTCTGTGGTCCAGTTTCCAGCACTGCATCTCCCCTTGTCATGACTGTGCCCGAAACAGGTGTTGAGGAAATGTAGGGAGATGAGAGCTTCCTGTATTGGCTCACAGGGGGTGACTCCACATCATAAGTAGTCACCCAAAGCGTCGATGTCCGCTGACTGTGTGGCCTTGTCTGATTACCCAGGGGGTGGAGAGCGCTTTCTCATCTCAGGCCCTTCCTGGGAAGTGTCCACTTCCAGCCCTGTCAGGTTCAGCGTCTTTTCATTGCCAGTACGTGTTTCACACGTGATTGTTTTGGTGGACCCACTTCCAGTGCCTGCGGTCTCAGCAGCAGCAAACCAGTCTCTTGTATTACAGCTGTAGGGCTTCTTTGTTTATTGCCTTTCTTAGCTTTCATCTTTTCTTGCTGGTTCCTCTTGCTTGCTGAAGTCAGCTTTCGAATTCATCTGTGACATAAGCACCTAGCTTTCCGGAGTTTTGTCTTATGTGGTGACAGCGCTGTTTTTCCTCATTCCAAAACATGTGGGACTGCAAAAGTACCAGGTGGAGCAGTTTCGGAAGTTTGCAGCAAAGTTATGGGAGCTTCATTTGGGAACTTCAGGCGTGTTGTGGTCCGTAGAAAATTGCCTCTTAGAAAATAGGAGAGTTTTTAAAATAAAAAAGCAGGTGACCAAAATGACAAGACCTGGCTAAGTCATATGAGTGGCAGCACCAAATAGTCTGGTGGTTTGGGAACTGAAGCTTTGGGTTGCGTAAAGGCAGGAGTCAGATCAAAGCATAGTCACTGCAATAGGCAGATAGACCTGTCGGGGACAAGAAGCTCTCGGGGCTGGCAAAAGCTGCGACACAGCTGGAGGAACTGAGAGATGCGCGTTTCAGCCATGGGGACAGAACTGAAGGACTGTAAGTAAATGGCAGGAAGTGAATTTGATTCTGGTGTACGAGGCGTACAAGGAGCAAAGCTGCCCAAAGGCTGTCACTTATGGGATACAGGAGTTGTAGGGACAATTGAGAGAAGAGGGAGGTGACCTCAGCACCAGCGCAGGTTCCTTCTGCTCCCTGCCAGCTGGGCAAGCGAAGTTTGCCAGTAGGAAGACACATATAAATTTTGTTTGGGCCTCTGGATAAAAAAATGGAAACAATCCAGTGGCGTATTGTTGGGCAATACTGAAAAAAAGGAGGAAAGAAAAAAAAAATAGATTCAAAATACAGTGTTTGAAGGTACTGTAATCATGGTAAGCTTATATAAATTTAGTAAACGTTGTCACTTAAGCAAGAGCATTACTCTGTGCCCATGTAGCAGATACCTTACGACAGAAAACCTTACGGCAGCACTTATGGAAAAGCCATACTGGTACTTTTGAAGATACATAACTACAGTTAGTAGGCTTAGAGGTGACTGGATAGAGTAACCAACGCGTGTTTGAGTAAAGGCAGCCAGCACATACAAAAGATCAAACAGCGCAGCATTAGTCAGCTGAAACGAACGCAGCACGCCTTTTTCTCTGGTTTGTCTAGACGTTTAACTGCTCTGATGTGTCACAGCGAGAGATACCCATGTGCTGCAAAAAAATCCCTGTGCCACCTAAAACTCTGGTGTCAGTGCTTACTAATCAGATCATGCTGTTAGAAAACATCAGAGGAACCATACACTGGCTAAATTAACGAGACGGCTGTTCAAATAAAAATAGATAAGTGCTTTGGAAACTGGAAGATGTCAGTAATGCCGTGGGAAATGCACTGTGGAACAGCTGAGGTCGTAGCAGAGTCCAAAACATGAGATTATTTTTCAGGATTGATGCAACCAATTCTTGTGGCTTTACAGAGAGGGGGCAAAATGACACCTTCATCTGCCCTATAGCCATCAGCAAACCCCTTGCATCAGGAGGAGAAAATAGATCCTCATGAAGGACCCAGAAGTGTCCTTCTCTGGTCTGACGCAACCAGAAGCTGATGTTCTTGAGGGGCACGGTGCTGTGGGGAGGGAGCACGTCTGTGCCCTGCCTGCTCTGAGGAGCATCGAGCTCGGAGCAGCCAAGTGCTGTGGGCAGGGGCAGCTGAACCCAGATTGAAAATACTTGTGGCTTTTGAATCTGCCTATTTCCCTGATGGTTGCGTTGTTACTGGAGGAGCCTCGGAGCATTGCTCTGCATGTTATTTTTGGCTTGGGAGTTGGCTCTTCATGGCTAAAAGTCCTCTGCAAGGACTGGACTGTGCCTAAGAGTTAGAGATGCCCTCTCAACAGTGCAGTCTGTGGCCAATTCCAGTCTGTGAGTGATGAGAAAGATCATAGAATCATAGAATGGTTTGGGTTGGAAGCGACCTTAAAGATCATATCCTTCCAATCCCCCTGCTGTGGGCAGGGAGACCTTCCACTACACCAGGTTGCTCAAAGCCTCATCCAGCCTGACCTTGAACACTTCCAGGGATGGGGCACCCACAGCTTCTCTGGGCAACCTTTCCAGGGCCTTCCCACCCTCAGAGGGAAGAGTTTCCTCCTTATAGCTAATCTACACATACCCTCTTTCAGTTTAAAGCCATTGCCCCTTGTCCTATCACTACACACCCTTGTAAAAAGTCCCTCTCCAGCTTTCCTGTAGGCCCCCTTTAAGTACTGGAAAGCTGCGATAAGATCACCCCAGAGCCTTCTCTTCTCCAGGCTGAACAGCCCCAACTCTCTCAGCCTGTCTTCATAGGAGAAGTGCTCCAGCCTTCGCATCATCTTTATGGCCTCCTCCGGACCCTCTCCAACAGCCCCATGTCCTTCTTGTACTGGGGACTCCAGAGCTGAACACAGTATTCCAGGTGGCGTCTCACAAGAGCAGAGTAGAGGGGCAGAATCACCTCCCTCGACCTGCTGGCCACACTTCTTTGGATGCAGCCCAGGACATGGTTGGCTTTCTGGGCTGCCAGTGCACATTGCCAGCTCATGTTGAGCTTCTCATCCACCAGCACTCCCAAGTCCTTTTCCTCAGGGCTGCTCCCAATCCATTCTCTGCCTAGCCTGTACTTGTTCTTGGGATTGCCCCGACCCACGTGCAGGATCTTGCACTAAAGATGACTGAGTAAAAATGGCTTTGGACCAGATCTTGGGATGCTTCACCTCAGTGTGTTTACTGGAAGATCCCTGTAAGGTTCTGCACAGGCCATCTTGTCTCTCCCTGTGACTGCTGACCTGCTCTGCTTGCTGTCTTCTGCCACATGTGTACAGCAGGCTTCTCGGGGCAAGGGTGTTTCCTCACTCCATGTCTGTGCTCTGCCCAAGGTGTTGTGGCTCAGACTGCAAATATTGCCACTAAGCAAGAGCCCTGGGCCACAGAGCCAGGCCTTGGGTGAAACTGCTGTCAGCAGCTGGGGTGGAGGAAGCTTCGGGTCAGTGTCCCAGCTCGAACTTGCTCCGAAGGTTTGTTTGGATGGAGGTTTTGAGAGTGGCTTCAGTGACAGTGAAGCAA